GGTCATTGTGGGCGATTTCAGCCCTGGCCCCACCTGCCATATCTCTGGACACGACGAAGTAATCGATGCAGCGCATGGCTGGGCGACGCGTGCCGCCATCCGGTGCAACGACTGCGCCGTCCATCGCATCGACCCAGCCTGTCTTGACCAGGTCGGTGCGCGGGAGGTCCCAGTCGCCGCCGACTACGAAGGGCGTGCCCTACGCTTGAGCTGAGTACCCACGCGTCACGGGATGTCCCAATTCACCTCGTTCACACCAACCGAATGGACCGGGTAGAGATTGACAACAATGAAACCACCACGGACCACGCCACCGACATGATGTAGGCACGCTCGAGCAGGCTGCAGCGCATGAGGAAACATCCAGGGAGCCAGAGCCGATGCGCTTCGGAGTGGCGGCGAGGAGGCCCCCCGCCGGGTTGCCGAGCGCTGGCAGCGCAGCCATAAGATATGCAGACCAACCAATGCAACGAAGTCGGGCCTCAGTCGGCTCAACCGAGGTCGCGAGAATTCTGTTCTCCTGCGCTAGCAGCACGTCAGAAGCAATGCATTCGCACAGGTAGGCCTCAAGGCCAGCCTGTCCACCAACCCTGGCCGTTATAATCGACCATGCCTTGTCCTGCCGAATGCTAGGAGCAAGGCGCGCCTGGGTCCGAGGCTGGGCTCGGACTGAAAGGTGTGATGCGGAACTCCTTCTGAGCGGCGTCACTGATGCCGCCCATGATATTCTCTGCATGCTGGCGCGAGATGCCACGCTTGGAAAGAAAGGCGCCCAAATTCGTGTCCGCAGTGAGCTGCTTAAGGGAGCCTATAAAAAACTCGCGCGGCGGGCGGATCGCCAACGCCAGCAGCATGTCCCTTCCCGCCCCGCCCCTGCCCCGACACCGAGCCCTTCCCCCCGCAGGAGAGTGAGGCAGCAGGCGGGGCGCTGGCGGCAAAAGGCGACTCGGCGGGCGGGCCGCCGAACACAGCACGCGCGGCGGCGTCCGCGTCGCGTGCATCTGCAGGAGGGGCGGCAACGATGGCAGCACCAGGGGGGGCATCGGCCATGGCAGCTCCATTGTCTCCGTCATCACCTCCTTTAGAATCATAGCCATCAGACTCAAGATCTTCAGGTGCAAGCGATGTGTCACGAGCCCCAAGCAAGGAACGCAGCGACTCCGCCAACGCGGGATCGAGCGCCTGGCACTGCATGAGCAGGGGGAACGCAGGGTCGTCGGAGGACAACACTTTGCCGTCGCGGGAGGCGGCGACACCACTCGAGGCGCACTGCGCCCAAGCCGCCGTGGTTTTGGCAGAGGCGACTCGCTCCTGCTCCTCCAGCGATTCCAAAGAAGAGCGGAGGTTGACCAGCTCCATGACCTTGCTCTGCAGGTCAGACTCGACCTTCTGGATCTGCTTGGACGTCTGGGAGACCTGACGCTTGAGATCGTCCAACACGGCTTGGGCATGCTTCTGCGCAGCACGAGGATCACCAGCAGCCAAAGCACGTTCCGCCACGATGCGAGCCCGCTGAGACGGAGACAACAGGCCCTTGCACGCGTCGAATTCGTCGTTGGCCATGCAAACGAACCTGGACAGCTGATCGGGCTCGAGCAGCTTGTACTTCGGCTTCTGCTTGCCGGTGGGCAGACCGTTTGCCCAGGCACCTTGAGCCTCTCGCGGCTGAGAGGCCGCAGGAGCAGGAGGGCGAGCAGCGCCGCACTCGTAGCAAAACTTCTTCCAAGAGAGATTCGTCTTGAAACCACACTTCTTCTTCGGGCAGCACCACACCCCATTGCGAGCCTCGCGCTCGCCCATGAATGTCATGCTTACGTGGAAAGGAAGCCTGCAAGGCCAGGGCGGCCCAAGCAAGGATCATGAGGGCACCACAGGAAACAGCTCACTGTAAGCCACCTCGAGAAATTGATTACTTGAACCAAAATGGCTTGAACCAAAATGGCTACGGATCAACCTCCTCCTCCTCCTCCTCCTCCTGCTCCTCCTCCTCCTCCTCCTCCTCCTCCTCCTCCTTCTCCCCCTGCTTCACATCCGCCTCCTCCTCCTCCTCCTCCTCCTCCTCCTCCTCCTCCTCCTCCTCTACTTTCTCCCCTCCTCCTCCTCCTTCTCCTCCTGCTACTACTCCTCCTTCACGCGTCAGCGCGTACCTCAATCTACGTCATACTTTAGGGTCCCACCTGCCCGACCCCCCGCCAGCCAGCCCGTCAAGGTCCGCTCGCCCGACCAAACCAGACCGTTAGGGCAACTGCGTGCCACCTCGAGAGTTGCGCCATACTCTAAAGCCCCGCCCGCTCGACCCGGCGCTCGCCCAACCCGCGACCTCGACAGCTGCGTCGTAAATTAGGCATTAGGGCAACCGCGTGCTACCTCGACAGCTGCGTCATAAATGAAAGGCTCGCCCGACCGATCCGGCGCTCGCCCGACCCGACCGATCCGCTAATTAGGGCAAACGCGTCTGACTCGAGAACTGCGGCACACTTGAATGCCCCACCCATCCGACCCGGCGCTGACCCGACCCGACTGGTCCGTTAGGGCAAGCACGTGCTCTCTCGAGAGCTGCGTCATACTGTACTGTCTCGCCCTCCCGACCCAGCGCTCGCCCCATCCGAGCGGTCCGCTAGGGCATCCGAATGCTACCTCGAGAGCTGCGTCATATTCGGATGTCCCGCCCGCCCGACCCGGCGCTCGCTCCACCCGACCAGTCCGCTAGGGCAAGCGCGTGCTACCTCGAGAGCTGCGTCACACCTTGATGTTCCGCCCGCCTGACCCGCCCCCCCCCCCGCTCGCCCGTTAGGGTCCCACCTGCCGCTCGACCCGCCCGCCCGTCAGGGCCCGCCCGCCTGATCCGACCCGCCCGCTAGGGCGAGCGCGTGCCACCTCGAGTTTGTGCCATTCTTTAATGGTCCTCCCGCCCGACCCGCCGCCCGCCGGCCCGCCGACGAGGAACCCGCCCGCCGCCCGAGGCGCCCGCCTGATAAGGCCCGCCCTCCCCGACCCGACCCGCCCGTTGGGGTCCGTGTGTGCTGCATCGATGCTGCGTCCTACGTGGAAGTCCCGCCCGCCAGATCCGCCAGCGCCCCCAAGCGGAACGCCCCGCCTGCACGGCCTGCCGGAAGAGTCCCGCCAGTCCTGCAGGCTGGAGCACATGCTCGGATGTCCCGAACATTCCTTGAATCTTTAACGTTCCGCCAGCCCGACCCGCCCGCTGCAATGCCCAGCGCGCTCGGCCGACCAGTGTGAGTGCGCTTGCCAACTTCAGTGTATTTTTGTATGTTAAATGTTTCGCTGGCCGATTCGCCCGCGATCAGTCCCGCCCGCCCGCTGAAGCGACCCGCTCACACGGCCTGCCAGACGGGCTCCGCTTCTCGCTGACTTCTGGGTGTGCTCGAATGTCGCGCCCGCCTCGTCCTGTCTCTCGTCCGTCCACGCCCTTTTCCTTTCCTCCGCTGACCCAGCCTACGCCCTACGCAAAATGCAGGGCTGGCCGCTAACTTCAAGCGACGGCCTTCTCCTGACCCTCATTCTCCTCCTCTTCTCATCCTGGTCCTTCCTTCGTCCCCTATCTCCTCCTCCTCCTCCTCCTCCTCCTCCTCCTGCTCCTCCTCCTCCTGCTCATCCTACGCTTCCTCCTTCTCCGCGTCTTCTTCCTGCTCCTCCTCCTCCTTCTCCTCCTCATTCTCCTCCTCCTGCTCCTTCTCCTTCTGTATCCTCCTTTTCCTCCTCCTGCAGATTTGCATGATCATTCAGGCCCGCCCAAAACAGTCACCAAGCGCCTCGAGTGACTCTTTTTAGGCGGGCGCCTTTTTCAGGCGACAGCCTCCTCCTCCGTCTCCTCATCCTCTTCCTCCTCATCGCCTCCCAACCCGCCCGACAACCCGTTCGGGAATCGCCCGCCGCCCGACCCGCCCGCCCGAACCGACCCGTCCTGTAGGGCACGCTGTCTCGAGCTCGCGTCATATTTTCATGCCCCGCCCGCCCGGCCCGCCGCCCGCCCCCATCCGTCAATTCGGGCCCCGCCCTCCGCCCGGCCATCTGAGGTTCAATCTTGGAGTTCAGACTTCAGTATGTGCTTTCAACAAAGTATAGAACCGAAAATCCAATATCCGGTTTCACAGTTCAAGAATTCAATATTTCAATTCGGGAGTCCAGAAATGCACCTTTTCAATATTTCAACTCTGGGGTTTCCAGCTCCATAACTGAACTGGCGGCTGCGGAATTCAATTCCGGGGATCCGAACTCCCATGCTGAAGTTGGAACTTGAATAGTTCAGTTTTCAATCGGCTGGGGACTAACCCCCTGTTGGGTAACTATGTATATACAAATGTACATCTATCTGCACAATTGTGTATATAGGTGTGTGCAGTCGTGTGGAGACGTGAGACAAATCCACGGAGCTGCGCGAGACGAAATCTGACGACGCGCCCTTTTGCCTCTGGCGCAGAAGATCGATGCTTTTGACATATTGATGCCCTCTTTGGGATCCTCCTGGGCGTATTTGGAGCCTCTCGGGCTGTCTTGAAAACATGTTCGGTAATGTTGGGGACCCCTTGGGCAGACTGGGGGCCCACTGGAACCGTAGTTTGGCCTCTTGGCGCATTGTGGAGGCTTTTCAAGGTGTCCTGGGGGCCTCTTGGGCTGTCTTGGTGTCTCTTGGGGCACTTCGGGGGTCATTGGGCAGTTTTGGCGGCCTCTCAGGCCGTCTCGGTGAGTCCTTGGGGGTCTTTTAGGCCATCGTCGAACAGCTAAGAAATACATGATCTTGGCCTCTTGAGGCCCTCTCGGAGATCCTCGTAGGGGCCCTCTGGGTGCGTCTCCAGCTCCAAACTGGATTGGTGTGGCGTGCTTTCGGCCCTCAAAGGGTCTGAAAAGGAATCTGCTATCTTTGTTCCACTCCTCGTCTCCACTCCTCTTCCTCTTCTTCCTCCCTGGGGGGGCTTTTGGGTAGTTTTGAAAGCATCGCGGACAGTTTAGGGCCGTCCCCGGGAGCCCCCCCGAACGGCCTGCGGCGCCTCGGGCAGGCCCACTATGGCTCCGCTCCTGCGCGGGCATCCCCCCCGGCAGCCGAGGGGTGTGCGCGACAGTGGCGGCGACGGCGGCGGCTCGCAGCAGCAGGAGGAGGAGGAGGAGGAGGAGGAGGAGGAGGGAGGATGAGGCGGAGGAGGGAGGGAGGAGGAGGAGGAGGAGGAGGAGGGGGAGGAGGAGGAGGAGGAGGGGGAGGGGGGGGGGAGGGAGGAGGAGGAGGAGGAGGAGGAGGAGGAGGAGCGACATTGGCCAGCAAGGGCAGGTCGGACCAGGGAGGAGAGAATACCCAGGAGGAGCAAGGCGAGAAGCAAGAGCAATGCAGAAGAGGCAATCCGCTGCCCTTAACGAGGGCCAGGTCGACAACATATACAAAACAAGGAGGAGGAGGAGGAGGAGGACGGAGGAGGAGGAGGAGGAGGAGGAGGAGCCCTAGCAGCTGAAAGGAACATTCTAAGGGTGGCTCGGCTCAGGTGCTCCAGCGGCTCAGTCACGGGCCGCCGCCGCGCTCTAGGCAGCGGCTTGTAGGAGGAGGAGGAGGAGGAGGAGGAGGAGGAGGAGGAGGAGGAGGAGCAGCAGCAGCAGCAGCAACAGCAGCAGCAGGACACCAGGAGAAACAGCACCACAAAGAAACCTCCGATGGAGGGCAACGATCGGGGGAAACTGATGCAGGGAAGGGAACATCGACCTAGAATCCGCGATGCATCGCCGATCTATCGGTGATAGGCCCCCGATAGTGAAGCCGCCGGCTCATGGGCGGGGTGGGGCTATCAGTTCGCTTTTGGCAAATGGGCCATTTGGGGGTCGATGCACCCGCCTATGCGTATCCCCCCCTATCCTTGCCACTGAAGGAGCCAAGGCGCAAGGACCTCCGAGGAGGAGGAGGCGTCCGAGAGCCTCTGAGGGAGCACCTCCGAAGGCAGAATCCGTGCAGGGGGCCGAGACGCGGTCGCCACGGCTGCGGACGACGACGACGACGACGACGACGACGACGACGACGACGACGACGACGACGACGACGACGACGACGACGACGACGACAACGACGACGACGAGGAAGTCCCAAAAAATCAGTCGATGTGTTTTTGTCGATCCGCGGTCCCAAAGGTCTGAACCTCTCCCGCGGGGGCGGTCTGGCGTCCCGGATCCATTTTTCTAAGTTAGGCTTGATCAAAGGTTGGTGCCTCGGGTGGCTACCTTGCCCGTTCCTCGGAGGTTCCCCGGGTTCTTCGGGTTCCCCGGGTTCCTCGGGTTCCTCGGGTTGATCGGGTTCCCCGGGCTCCTCGGATTCCCTGGGTTCCTCGGGTTCCTCGGGGTTCCCTGGGTTCCTTGGGTTCCTCGGGTTCCTCGGGTTCCCTGGGTTCCCCGGGCTCCTCGGGTTCCTCGGGTTTCTCGACTTCCTCGACTTCCTCGACTTCCTCGGGTTTCTCGACTTCCTCGGGTCCCTTGGGTTCCTCGGGTTCCTCGGTTTCCCCCGGTTCCTCGGGTTCCTCTGGTTCCTCGGGTTCCTCGGGTTCCTCGGGTTCCCCGGGCTCCTTGGGTTCCCCCGGTTCCTCGGGTTCCTCGGGGTTCCATGGGTTCCTCGGGTTCCTCGGGTTCCTCGGGTTCCCTGGGTTCCCCGGGCTCCTCGGGTTCCTCGGGTTTCTCGACTTTCTCGATTTCCTCGGGTTTCTCGACTTCCTCGGGTCCCTTGGGTTCCTCGGGTTCCTCGGTTTCCCCCGGTTCCTCGGGTTCCTCTGGTTCCGGGTTCCTTGGGTTTTCCAAGCAATGCTAAGCCATGCCAAGCAATGCTAAGCCATGCCAAGCATTTCGAAGCAATGCCAAGCAGTGCCAGGCGGTGCCAGGCAATGCCAAGCACCGCCAAGCACTGCGCCCATGCAGTGGCAAACTTTCCACTAATTGGGTCGTGCCGGGTTCACGAATGGCGCCGGGGCCAAGGAACGGCCGCCAGAGGCCGAAATCGACAAAAACCGCCCAAATTGAGAAAAACATGATGTCGAAGATGTGGACTGGTCGTTTCGGCGGCGAGATTTGGGAGGGAAGTCAGAGGGGGCGGGCCTTCTCAGAAGGCTCGGAAGGCCTCAATCCTTCTGAATGTTCTTCTCGTTCCTGCTCCGAAGGCACAGAGGAAGCTTCTCAGAAGGTCGAAGGGCTTCAGAGAAGCCCCGCCGCTTTCTGAGAAGGCCTGCCCCCTCGACGTCTGGTGGCTTTTGAATCATAAGTCGAGCCTCTGGCGGCCGTTGGGGACGATCTGGGCACCCCCAGAACGCTTTCGGCGAGGCGCAGCCGCTGGAACGCATCCCGAGGCTGGAAAACCGCCGAGAACCGACGGACCCCCCCGAATACCTGGATTCGAGCCTCCAACTCCCCCCTGGGCTCGCCGCCGATCGTTGGCGGCGGCGACGGCGACCTCGCTGGCGGCGGCGGCGGCGGCGACGACGACATCCACGACGACGACGACGACGACCGCGACGTCGCTGGCGGCGGCGGCGACTGCGCGGCTGCGACGGCGAGCGGCCCGCTCCTGGCGCTGTCCTTCGCGGAGGCCCTCCCTCGCGGAGGCCCGGCGCGGGCCCTGGCGCAGGCCGGCCCGCCGCTGCCCTTGGGTGGCCTCGCCTGCGCGCCAGGGGCGGAAGGGCGGCTTCGGTCGGTCGGTCGGCCCCGGCGGTGCAACAGTCTGCACGCCGCCATGCTCAAGGCTCTCACCCTTAGAGCCTGTTTCGGCCGCCACCCTCACCAGCGAAGGGAGCTATCCGTCGAACCATCCGTAGGCTGTTGTACCCCGCGGGGTAGCGGCCACCCCGCGCCGTGCGCCAACACCCCGCATGGCCTATAGGCCGTCGGCAGCGGGGCGGGGGCGTTGTTCCTCAGGACTTGGCCCTGCGGGGCAAGCCGCAGCCTGGGGGGCTAGAAGAGGGAGGGCCGGATGGGCCCAGCCCTGACTCCATGGCGGCCCAACGTACAGAAACGAGAAAGCAGTTTCGGGGAGGGGGGGGGGGAGTTCCCCAAAACGGCCCACGACGCCCTCAAGATGGCCCCAAAACGTCCCCGTAGAGCGTAGACCTCCAAGACAGCCGTAAAAGCGCCAAAGAGGGGCCCACAATTGCCAAGAGAGGGCCCAAAAACGGCCTCCGAAGGCCAAGCAAGGGGGACGGAGGGGAGGGGGGAGGGAGAGGGGTATGGAGCCAAGCTAGGTGCGCTCGCGTCATATCTGACGTCCTACCCCTCCCTCCCATCCCTTACCATGGCGCTGATTTTCTCTATCCGCGGACGCGTGTCGTAGCGGACCTGTGGCTCCGCGCGCGCGTGCGTAGTGGGTGGTGGTGCGCGTGCGTGCGTGCGTGCGTGTGTGCGTGGTTGTGGTGGTGGTGGTGGTGGTGGTGGTGGTGGTGGTGGTGGTGGTGGTGTGCTGGTGCTGGTGCTGGTGCTGGTGCTGGTGCTGGTGCTGGTGCTGGTGCTGGTGCTGGTGCTGGTGGTGTGGTGGTGGTGGTGGTGGTGGTGGTGGTGGTGGTGGTGGTGGTGGTGGTGGTGGTGGTGGTGCGGCGCGGTGGTGGCGGGCGGATGGGCGCGCGAGAAAGAGGCCCGCGCTGGGGCGAGAACGCCATCCTGAACGACGGAGGCCAAACACCGATCCGAAAATGAGGCCCACGCTGCAGCGGGAGCACGATTCGGAACGATTCGGGAGCAGAAATGAGGCCGGCGCCTCAGCGAGAGCAGCATTTTGGAAAAAAACCGCGGTAAAGTGGGGAGTATTTTCATATGTGTAATTTAGGGGGGGGGGGGGGGGGGCGACGGGGAGGAGGACGAGGGGGAACAGGGATGAGGAGGCGGTGAGGAGGGAAAGGGAGGAGGAGGAGGAGGAGGAGGAGGAGGAGGAGGAGGAGGAGCAGGAGGAGGAGGTGGTGGTGGTGGTGGTGCTCAGTTGGGGGCCATCAGTCAGTCATCTCTCAACTGGTCGGTAGCCCCTCCGTTACATATGGAGGCTGGGCCGCCTGCAGGTGCAGCAGGCCGCCACGGCAAGAGGCGTGCAAGGACCGCGCACGATGCCCCGTCGGCGTTGAAGACCCCTCGGGGTATGAATAGTTCAGTAAACGGGAGCGGCGCCTGCTACCTCTCCATGGAGGCGCGCCGTTGCCGCCAGGGGCGGCATCATGTCTAAGATTGCCAAACTGAAGTAAATGGTGCAGCTCGCTGCGATATTCTCTTACCTGATGCAAGAGCCTCGTCGCATGCTCGCTGCCACCTGCTGCCAAACTCCTGAGTATCTGCTGTCGCCTCGGGTCGTGAGCAATGTCTATCACGACTTGGTTGTACCCACGCCTCACTACTGCTTCTTCGTCAGGGTGCCCTGTTTCACTAGCTGCCTCAGCTGCGCCTCCACCATCCTCTCCAGCTTTGTGTTCGGCCCTGCCCCCATCGGCCTCGTGCCTTTCTGCAGGAACCACGCGTGGTTCAGGGCCTCTCGGAGGAGCGCTGGTTGAAGTTGGCGTACCTGAGCCACGGCCTCTGGCGTTGCGTGCCCGAGCCTAAGCGCTGTCTTGAAGTCCACCAGCGGCCTGATCCCGAAAATGACCTTGAACATCTCCTCCATGTCGCTCTCGCGCTGGTAGGCCTTCTTGATCCTGAACATGCTGGACGTCGCGTCCACGAGCCTTTGCCCGTGCTCCCCGTTGGCCATGCCCACCCACTCCGTGAGGATGGCCTTGCTCGCCGCCTGCAACTTGCCCCCTGGTCGAGCACCTCCGCCGCCTGTTCCACCACCGACAGTGCGATGTGCGCGCGCAGGGGCCCTTGTTCGCGCCCGCGGCCCATCTTCTTCACCGCGTTGTTGTAGCCTTGGCCTGTGTTGGCCCCAGCGGTGACCATGCTCGACGATCCTGGGACCAGCCAGAAATCGAAGACCCCGTTGATCAGGTCTCTGTTCTCCTGGCTGTTGCGCAGCACCAACTTCTGCACCGTCACCAAGGCCCCCCGTATGTTTACGTTCTCGCCGTCTCTCGCCTTGCCGCCCTTGCCGCGCGACAACTCCTGCCTGGCCTCCTTCTTGTCCCGTTCTTCACCAGGACTGATGGCGCGAGAAGCGCCAGTGCAGTCCATCTCGTAGAGGTGGAGGCCAGAGAAGCAACAATCCGTCACGCAGGCGGAACTGACGGTCTCCTTCTTCTGACGCTTAACTCTGTCCTCGTACCTACGGCGTAGTACGATACTGTCGACGGCGATGCCGTACTCCCCGCCGTGTAGCGCTTGTCGTAGTAGTGCGCTCTCGCCCTTGCGCTTTGTCAGTGGATCTGCGAGCTGGCTGGCCCCCCCGATCCATCGCAGATGTACTTCTGGCCGCTGCGTGGCAGCTCGAACGATGGCGACGTCGATCGCCGCTCGCTTGTCCTCGGCCAGGCCCGCCTTGGGGTTGGTCACATGGTCGCAACCCCCTCTGGGGTCGGCGACGCTGATCACGGGAAACTTAGACGCCAACATGTAGGGCCTCATCAGGTCGAACTCGTTGTCCACGATCTCTAGTAGCTAGCATGGTGCGCGTAAGCTCTGCCATGGTCATGCCCTCCGAGATCGCCGGTGTCCCCGCTCCGAACTGGTGAGCGCACTTGCTCTTAAGTTTGTGACTCTTTCAGGACTGGATGGAGATGGTGGCGGGCTCTCCCTTGAGGATCTTGCGCTGTGCAGCGAACACTATGTAACCTGCCTGTGAAGCGCCATCTCTTGAATTGGCCCACGCTGCGTCGTTGAACACGGCGAGGGCCATCTCCTGGAATGGGATGTGCTTGATCCTGAGGCTCACTGAGCTGAACTCCTTGGTCATCCTGCGGAAGCGATTCGCCTCCAACAGGTCATCCACCGACAGGTTGGGCATCTTTCCTCGGAGTAGAGGCACAGGGCCTGACAAGTCGGGCCTGCTCTCTCGTGCCAAGAAAGAAATAGGGCCACAGAGACTCCGTGCCTGATGAAGTTCTTCAGGAGCAACTGCGAACTGAGGTTCTTTACGTCGCTCGGCGGCGATGTTGGTCAGCTGGATGCCGTGAGCACTGGAAGCCTGGGAGATTGTAATCTCGGTGTTGTCCTCATTCTGGGTAAGCTCTTTACCGGTGTACTTCCCACCCTTGTGTCGCCGAGCTCCGAAAGGAAATCCTTCTCGTAGCTTCTGGCAGGCCGCATCGAATGCCGCATCTCCCCCGCCCGCAATGTCGTCCACGGTGATGCCCGTGACGCCATGAAGCCCCTTTCTCGTCTCTCAGGTAGAAAACGCAGCGGTCGAAGATGGAACCTAATCCAGCTCCACCAGTGAACCGTTCTCCACATCGGGAATCCCAGTGCGCGGCAACTCCACGTAGAGGCTCCTTTGTGAACGATCAAGAGGGTCTCCAGCAGTAAAGGCGGAAGTAATGTCTGCGAGCTGCAAGGTCCACTTGTTGGAACAGAGGATCTGCAACATCAGAAACACGGAGTCCTCCCCGACCACGGGGCTGTATGTCTCGAGCTCGAGTAGGTCGAGATCGGTGTCCCTGGACAGTCCAGCGCGCCTTCGCCATCCTCCAGGCACCGTTGGTCATGAACATCAGCTGCTGCTTGCTTGCATCGGCCTCGTCTGGATTGCCGCCCTTGCCGGTGAGCGCCCATCGTGATCCCATGATCCTGGAAACTCGCCCAGACTCTTGACGTACTATGTCTGCCCCGGCTGGTGTCAATAGTCGAACAGCTAGGGCATTTTGGATGTTGCGCCACTCCCTGCGCTCGCCCACGATGCAGGGTTGGTACTTGTAGGTGTTGAGAAGAGACTTCTCGGTGATCTCCTTGCGAAGTCGTGGATTGGTGCTGGTGAGCATGGCAGGCTTCACGACTGTTACCCTCCAGTGCTTGACTTTCTTTTTGCGGTGGCGCCTCCGCGCCCTTGGCGATCTTCTCCCCGATGGTTGCGATCCGCTCGCTCACTGGGATGGCTGAGCTTGGATTGTCGGCCTTCTGTCTAAAGGAAAAGGGGACGTCATCAAGGTGGTCGTAATACTTAGTGGCCATTGGAATCAGGTATGGATTGACGTCAGCTGCCTTCTCGATCTCCGTATAGGCGGTTGCCGCGATGCTGGGCACTGATCGTCTGCGGCGGGCTCGGGTGGTGCAGCTTTCGGTACCTGTTCTTCTGGATCTTCTGGAAGCTGATCCTGCCGGGTGAGGTCCTCGTACTTCCGACCCCCTCGGTTCTCCGTGCTCAGCCCCTCCTTCATGCTGTTGTCGACTTGCTCCCAGGCGGTGACCTCGGCCTCGTTGGCATGCCGAAGTTGTTCAGGTGAACGCTTGAGTCACCCACCCTGGTAAGAACACCACACTGTACTCGGGGGCGCTGTCTGGATGACGCGAGCAGGTCCGTGCCAGGAACTGGTCGGTAGCTTGTCAGTACTGCTCCTCCAGAAATAGCATCGGTCTCCAGGTTGGAAAGTGGTCCCTCTGGTAGGTCGGGTGCTCCTCTGCAGGGCACGCCTCCACTTCTCTGAACACTCGGCCTCGATATAGGCAACCATGGCGGCCTTGCGCATGTCGGTGCTTCTCGCCAGCTCGGTATCTCCGTTCATTGCTCTGGAAACCGCCGACAAACTAGGTGACCCTTCCTCCGGGATCTTCCCGGGAAGCCGAAACGGTCGTCCACAAACTCGTTGATGAGGCGTGAAGCCCCCACTGCGAACGCTCCCGCCCATCGCCGCATTGACCGCATCCACCAACTCATAGAAGTCCTCCCAGTGGTTGGCGTTGAACTTCTGCCCCGTCTTGTAGAACGTCTCCTTCCACGTGCCTCCTGCTCGTTCTGTCTTGCCGGCTTGCCAAGGTGGAGCTGCACTCGTCGCCCTGATCTCGGAACCGTCTCCTTCCGCTGCTTCGGGAAACTCGCCTGATGAGAAGCCCTTCTCTCCGTCGATGACAACCATGCGAGGTACTCCGTAGACACTCCTCCAGAAAGCTCTTTAGTGACGTCGCATTTGAAGCCCATGTCGACTGGGTAGAGGTACCACCCCTTGATGCCCCGCCCCATGGCAGACGATGTTCAGCATGGGTACCTTGGTGGTATTCTCAGGTCCCAGCACAAAGCAGATGTCCATGCCGATCACATCGTTGAACTGGTAGGTCGTCGGTGCCTTGGAGGGCTTCGCAAGCTTCGGCCCCTTGTTAGCCTCTCAGCTCGGGCACTCCAGCTTCTGTGCAGCATCAATGCACGCCTGTCTTGCCTTGCCGTACTTCAGAACCATAACCAAGTTCTCTTTGCTGCAGTGGCCCATGTTCTCGTGACTCTTCTGGACCTGCAGTTTGACGTGCGTGTCGGTGCTCTTCTCGTCCTTTGAACTTGCTGCGGTCGCCGCGGGTGCTGCGCAGCATGGCGTGCAAACTGTATCGGTCGCATTGCGCTTTTTCCGTGTTCTTCTCGTCCAGGTCCTGCGTCGTTTCGCCACCGTGCGAGCAAGCGCTCCCGCCAGCCCTTGCAGAGAGTCGTCGATCTCCCCGAGGTTGGCGTGAGGTGGTCGGTTCACGAGCTCCTGACTCAGCAGCTTCGCGTACTCCATGGCCTCCTTCGGTAGATTCGAGAAGTACTTGCGTCCTTGTCGAAGGGCCTCGTTCGCCTACGTCGGGCAGACGCTGGGGCTTCTTGATCAGCGGATCCCCCCAGTCCCTGGAGTTCGCGTCCTGCTCGTCGTAGAAGTACATGCCGTTGACAGCCTGCTTGATCGCCACATCCGAAATGAAAACCAACATTTCCTTGCCAATCATCTCCTTCCGCTGAGCGTTGTAGATGTCCTTTGGTGGCCTGATGACCACCAGTACACCAGTAAGGGCGCAGCGCGTTGTGGTCGGACCCAGACTTCCCGCTGCACCATCCTGGTCATCACGTGCGAGCCCCTCAGTGTCACGATCTCCGTGCTCTTTAAACTTCTTCCTGCTCGATCGCCCTCCTTGAGGTGGTCCAGCTCTGGCTCAGCAACCCGACTGACCTGCTTCATGAAAGCGCTACTTTCTGGGATGGCCGCGTCCATCGCCTTCGTGGGGTCCTCTGTGCAGATGATCTGCTGGATGGCTTTGTTGATCAGGCTGTTCTGCTTCTCACTGAGCTGTCCTAGAGATCGCGGGTGTCTGCTCCGAGGTGGCCGCGTAGTTGATCCACCAGCTGGTTGGTCGTCTCGTTTGCGTTCTCGTCCTGGAGTAACTCGCGCAGCGCTGTCAAGGCCTTGCTCCGAGGTGACTGGTCTAGCCGCTCCCACTCCTCGGTCTCCTCCAGCTCGTCCTTCTGCTGACGCTGGTTGTCTTGCTGCTTCAGGTCGATCTTCGCATGGGCCCTCGGACTGGTCAGCGCTGCATCGCCGCTCTCTGGTATCTTCGTTGATGAGTCCCCCTTCCTGCTGCCGGCCTTGGTCGGCCTGGGCCAGCATCCCTTAATCCTTGCCTCCTCGTCCTTGAGGTGGTTGAGCATGTTGATGACCTTCAGCATCCGCGGGTCGCACTCCAGATGTAGCTAGCGCCCGCAGCATTGTACCCAAAACGCCCAACCGTTGCCGCCGTGGTTAGTGAACTCGTGGACGCAGGCTGTCTCTCGAGCTGGATGGTGATCTCGAGCCAGGTTCAGGCCACTCTTCGGTGGGCAGGGACCCTGGTTGGGAATATCCAGGAACCTGCCAATCTGGGCTCCCGTCGGTGGCCTGGGATGATTGTCGATCTCGCGCCAGGGCCACTTGAAGGTATTATTGCTTTCCCTGTGATGCTTCTCCTTCGGTTCCCTCTGGCTCGTAACGGGGCTCGCCTCGGCCTTCTTGATCTCCGCCTGGTCTGTAGGTGTTGGTGGCCCTCGCGACGACAAAAGCTGCGAGCGCCGAGTACAGGTACTTGGGGGCCCTTCGCATGACATGGCAATATGGAGAAATACTGGTCGATGATACCCTCGGGAAACCTGTCCGTGAAATCTGACTCGAGCCGAACCAGCTGTTGGGACCGTCGTTTTTTTCTCCGTAGTTTACGTTTGGACAGCTCTATCACCGTGACGTTGCGCTTCCTGCTGCTTCTGTTTAACTTGTCATAGCTGCTCATATTCCCTATGTTGTCTGCTTTGAGGCCGATGCGTGTGTGTGTCGCTACTCTCGTCTAGCTCGTTGTAGCTCGATTGCTCTTTGCTTTCCTTGCCCCGAACTTCCCGTCGTGCTCGTGCTAATTCTGCGATTCGGTGTCTGGTGCTTGGCCTAGTCTCCCCTTTTACTGCTCGGTCTTGTTGCTCAAAGTCCCCCGTGGTGCCCAAGACGCCCGAGAAGAAACGGCCGTCGGCCTCCTGGATCCTCTCGAGGTCTGCCGGGGTCGACGTTTATTGATAGATGTACTCCGGGCTCGTTCCGAAGTCCATCGGAACCCCCCTCGAACAAAGAGTCCAGCTCGCAGGCTTCTTCCACGGCTGCACGGAGCTGCCCAGCTGCAGCGGGAAGTGCCCCCCTCCCGCGCGTGCCAAGGGAAGT